GCTTAATCAAAAAATTTTGCAGACCATTTTTGTAGAGCAGTAAATTTTCTATAAAACTTTGCGCTTTGCAAATTAAAATTATGTTTTTTTTATTGAGTTATTAAATGCAAAAGAGAAAAACAAATTTGCCTTAAAATAGTCAAATTTCAAACGTTAATATCTTTTGAACGGTTAAGTTTAAGAAAACCCCGTAACAGACCAGTTTGTAGAGTATTCAATTTCCTACAAAATCCAGAAAATGAAATATATTTTTAAGTAGTTGGAAGCGAGTAATGAATTTTTCTATCTGATTATAATAAATAATAAAACCGTTAGGCGGAGGACCTTCCTGTTACAATTAAGAGCGCATACTTGATGAGCCTCTCTTAGAGTTGTCTATCAACCAATTTTTCAGAGTACAAAGCAAAAAAAACATTTTTTTTTTACCCACCCTAATGTGCATACATATGTATGTATGTACAATACAATTAAACTCAAGAACTACTTTTGCGATTGTAAATGTGGAGCGGTGAATTATGACCGACAATAAGTGGGCGAAAGTTAAAAATATTGTTGGCAGCAGATGAAAGTATGTGACTTTAATGTGGATTAAGCAGAGAAAATATGAACTAAATTGTGATTAAGAAATATTACAAGTATGTTTTAATAATGACTTGAGAAAAGTGAAAATGCTTAACTTTCTTAAAGCGGTACTCATATATACTGTAGCTTTATGGGGTTACATACAGTTAGAATTTTCAAAAAATCGATTTTTTTAATTTCATTTTCCTAATGTACATATATTCAAGAATACACACAGAAAACTTCATATCATTCCGGTGAATATTTTCGAAGTTGCACGCAAATTTGAAAAGACGTTTCGGAGTTTTTTATCCCATGTAAAGTGCACTCCAAACTTTAAACGCGTTTTTCTCAGAATGTTATTTTCAAAGTCGATGACCAACATTACTCGAAAACGGCTAAATCGATTAGTCTCAAATTTTAACACGAGCATCTTAAATATATTTTTTAGTGATTAATTGAAGATTTTTCTCTCCGATTAATATTTTTGTTTTTATAATAATTTAAGGCCGAAATTTCAGTAAAAAATCGATCCAATTTGTCAAAATTTTGTATTTTGCTTATTCCTTTGATTAATTACCAGATTTAACATTACTTTAACGAAATCTGTTTGGTTTCTTAATTTCAGATGAACCAGTTAAGAAATATAGTGGTCACCGCAAAACGTCTTTTTTGAGAGGAGCTCCCGGAGATCTGTTGTTGCGCTTTTCCAAATAAATATTTTTACTAATACTAAGTCTTAAAATATAGTTAAAAGATACCATAATATGTGTATAAATTTTTGGATCAATAAATTTAAAAGTTTTATCAGACAAACTTCTGGAAAACTCACTTATTTTCAGCCTTCTAAATGTATATCACTCTTATATGCGCTAAAAACACAAAAGCCATCTTGGGTATACCTTTCGTGATATTTTCTCAACCTATGTATGTATTTAGATTAAAAATGTATGCACATCATAAAAATTAAAATTGTATAAAAATTATTAACTCAAATTCATAATTCGAAAATTTTAAGTTTGTAGTCAAGTTTTCATTGAAGTTGTAAGAGACTGTATATGACTATATCATCCTAAGAAATTTTAAACATGTGTTCAAATAGTTTCTCTCTCTCTCTCTCATCTCAGGGAACTTGAACAGTTAAGACCGTAAGAAAATGTTCCTTTCTCTAGCCACTTAGAAATTATAACTAAACTCGACATACTTAAAGAGTTGAGAAAGAAGTACAACTTTTAAGCTTTCAAAGGTTTATCAGTTTCCATCTAAAAGCAACATGGAATATCTCTATATAATAAGAATCAAAAAGCGCTTTTGCACTCTGCCACTACCGTGTACCCGATAGTTCATGTATTTATATACAATTCTTCTTTAATATTATTATTAAAATATATATTTTATATTTTCTACTTTAATAAACACCTCGCAAATGCCACATTCGCCCTGGTTTACTTTTTACATCAACGTTGACCAAAGTTTTCAACGCCGCGCATAAATCAAACACACTTCACTTCAAATAAAATTCAGTTAAAAACAAATTTTGCTCATAAAAATTTAGAGCAAAGGAGGAAAGAACACATAGAAGTGAATAATTTAAAAAATTTTAAAGATTGAGGCAAGATCACAAGCATTTATGCGTTTTGGCAGCAAATCAGCGGGAACGTAAATTTTAGTGGCAGTCATAACAAGATGCGTGCAACAACTTTTTAAGCAACCGCATCCAGCATGCAACACGTCAACACATACCATACAAACATACAGTTGACGTGTGTGATGTTTGCTGTCTTCCAATTTTCATCGGTGACAAATGCACTTAAAAGAGCGCTTCACGCATGTCGGTAATGAGGCAAGAAATGGGCAAGCTCATAAAAAAGTGTACAATAAAATAATATTGTTTTAGCACGTGTGTAGATATGTGTGTGCTGGTTTGCAAAATATTTAGGAAAAAATCTAAATTTCACTAGCATGCCAAATTTCATTCATACGAGGAGAACTATGCGAAATCACGAAAAAAATTTATACATATATTGAAATATAAAATATAATGAAATAAATACATATGTACAAACAAATACAATCTTCATTGATAACATACCTAAACCTATAAGCATGTGTTCTGACCGTAAATATTTGGCTGACGTAATAAAGATCTTTGCTGTATTAAACGCCTCGCGTTGCAGCCACGAGTTCAGCGTGAATTCGTACTACGTGCCTTTGGTAACGCCACTCATTACGTGTGCTACCTGCAGACCGACAGACAGCAACGAGTTCCTAATGATAATAGACTTTGGTGTCTTTGTTTATGTAGCCTAATGATAACGAAGCTTCACTCTACCGCCTCAACATATATACATATAAGTAAGTATGTAAGAAATTTTGCGAAATATATATTTATCACTATTTTTTATATAATTCTCAATTCTCTTATTCGTAAATAAATGCAAACTTTTTGTGAATAAACATACCTATTTATTTGGCGTAGGCGAACGTTATTCCAAAGAATATCATTTTTGTGTAGTAAATAACATATAAATATAGATGTGGTTAAATATAGTATTGCAAAAAAATGATGAAATGGTTTGCGTGAAACGCTCTATATTAGCAAATATCGAAAAACAAAAAAAAAAAACAAAATAAAAATAAAATAAAATAAATAAACGTAAATTTGATCAACAGAAAGCTTTTGCTTTGTTGTTGCTTGTTTTTATTATAAATTAAGAGTAAATAAATGGCGGCTTAATGTTGTTGACACTTCTGAAGTGGCGATATTGTTTACTTCATTCGATAACATATGTTGTATGTATATGTAGGTATCTTGTGAATTTAGATAAAAATACATATTTATGTATATTTATTATGCAGAATTCAAAAAAAAGTCAATTTCTTTTCATAGAGGTATGAGCGATTAAACCAACCTAATGATAGGGATGACTATTCGTTTCGCACTTTCATACTTCCCAAAACCATCTTTCTTCAATTATGTAGATTATGTATCCAAAGAAAACAAATCAATTTCAAGTATTGGTTTGTCTGTACTATAAAGTCACGTAGCCTTCTGAGTTTAATAAGCTAATAACAACAACCAAATCCGAAAATATATATTATGACTTTGTAAAGTATGATTTTAAATTTATCGACTGAACTTTAAAATTCACTTTAATTGCAAAATGCTTCTTAACTTATAGAAACCCAAAGTAAACAAGAGCTAAAAAAATTGTCTTTATCTTGTTTGAAAAAATTTAAGAGTCGTTTCTATTTTCACATTGAAATTATCCAGTTGTTGTAAATTCATATCCATATATATCCATTATTTATAAATGACCCAAAAAGATATCTAAAGAGCAATTGAAACCCCCTTATTATGCCGGGGTATATTCACAGATTTGAAGAAAGGTTCAACTGGAAGTTTATTTTTGCGATTTTTAATACTTATAAAGGGTGGATACGGAAGAAAATCTGATTGAGATCTATTGGTCAGATTAGCTGCACCTAAAGGGTGGATACGAAAGAAAATCTGATTGAGATCTATTGGTCAGATTAGCTGCACCTAAAATTTATAAGTCGATTAATTTTTGCATGCTGAAACCATTTTTGTTGAAATTAACGATTGATATATGATGTTGTCATAGACTTACAGAAAATTGTCTCATAAAATCAACTATATAAGAAAAATATTTAAACGCAAATTATTATAGTTTTCAAATTTTTATCACTGCTACTAAAAAAAAAACATTAACTTCAGTTGCACGTTGAAGCGATAATACCCTCACAAATACAAAATATTCCTTACCTTAGACAATAACCCATACCAAATTTCCTGAAGATATCTCGTCAAATGAAAAAATTTTCTATGCAAGCACTTAATTCCGACTATTCAGTTTGTATGACAGCTATATGCTATAGTGATCCGATCCAAATAATTTCTTTGGAGATTGCATTATTGCCCCTCATGACAAAGTTCGTGAGGATATCTCGCCGAATAAAAAGGTTTTCCATACAAACACTTGATTCCGATCGTTCAGTTTTTAAGGCAGCTATATGCTACAGTGGTCCGATATCGGCGGTTCCGATAAATAAGCGGCTTCTTGGGGAGTAAAGAATGTGTGCAAAATTTCAGATCGATATCTCAAAAATTGAAGGACTGGTTTGCGTATATACAGACACACGGAAAGACAGACGGACAGATAGACGGGCATCGTTAAATCGACTCAGCTCGTCACGCTGATCATTTTGATATACATTTTATAGGATCTCAGACATTTCCTTCTGGGTTTTACAAACATCGTTGCAAACTTAATATATCCTGTTCAGGGTAATAACAAATAGCTCGGCAAAACGTAATACATATTCGCTAATTAAAATAAATTACATATAATATATGTTAAATATATAATAAATATTTGTATTTCATAAAGATAATTAGGCAAAAGCTATAAACTTACATGAAATGCAAACATAACTATGCATTAATTAATTGAAAAAGAAAGAGCTGTGAAATGTTAAAGTAAATGGAAAAAAATATATTATAGTAAACAAATGAAAAATCGACACTTTCGTTACGCCATTGTCATTGGAAATTAGGTGTTGCCACGTGTCGTAATACCAAGTGATAAGAGGCCATAATTATAGTTACATACATATGTACATATATATGGACAGCTGTAATTCACAGCAGTCGAAACACAGCAGATCTTTATTGAGGCGTTCTGTTTACCTAAAAAATACAAAAAAATCCTTGGGAAAAATAATCTAAAATAAAATTTCAAGTTCATTTGATTAATAAATGCACGAACACACTTTTAGACGCGTTCTCTCTATCTTCATAGCATCTGTCAGTTTGTGGGAGGCATAAGCTTTCGACACAAAAAATCTACACGCATGCAATATGAAAACATTAACACATTTACACACACTAAATTATTTCGTAAAGTTCGTAGACCTTATGAAACTGATGCTATAGCAAAAATACGATTTTGAAATAAATGTTATATTTACATACCCTGTAGGTATTCAAAGTGGCAAAAACATACAGTTCTTAGGTTTAACTTTTGACAGAATTGCTGTGCGGTCTGACGGGTTGAAAAAATATTAAAATATAACTAGTTTATTTTTTATTCAAACGAAATTAATTTCAAGCTCTTTAATGCGTAGCCTAAAGACAGCGAGGTAAAAACTGTTTGGAATGGAGTAAGAGACAAATTTTTATATTCAGCTAGTTGCATACATAGTGCCAACTTAAGAATTTAAGTTTTCGACTTTTTTTCCTACTGAGATATTGACATAATATATTAAGTTTTGTATCAGCTATTAAAATTCGACATTGCATATTGTAGATATTACTCACAGCGTCGATTGAGAAATTCACAAAAAATCGTTTAGGTTTGCCAAATTTTACGAAATTTCGTAAACACTTTTCTCATTTTCTGCTGCTTTGTCTTGCATTTCGAAATTTAGTAAGAATACAAAACAAGATTCTTATTTTTGTTTATTTTACTATTTAAGCATATTCTTCATGAATGTGTTTCCACATTAAAGGGAGAACAAAATTAGCAAAATCTAACTTAAAAATATGCGTACTTTTACTCTTTGTATATTGATCTATTTTGTAACTTTCTACGAAATTTTTGTTTTGTAAAAATATCAAAGCTATTTCTATGACTGTGTCATCATAATTTGTTTGTTTGTGCATAGTCGAAAATTTTTGTGAATATACCTTTACGATTTGTCTAATTTTAGCAGCTAATTTCAGAATTTTAAAAATTACGAGTCGTAAAATTTTCAAAAAATTCGTTGTATATATCTTTTAATATCTTATGAGTGACATTTGTTAATTAAGAAAGTGGACAATAATCGAAATAAAATTGCGAATATGGATGATTAATTTAAATGTTATGTTTAAGAAAAATAAGTTTATGCAAAAATTAGACAACAAATTGTGTTTATGAAATGTGAAAATGAACGAATAACCGTTAATTTGAGTTTACTAGAGTAAAGGAACTTATGACTTTTTTAATTAAATTTTGTAACAAACTTAAAAGAAAGTTATTTCGGTTATAATATTATTGTATTTAAGTGAGCGAATAAGCCAGCAGAGTTCGTTTAAGATCTCTAATAAGTGGAAGAATTGCTAGTGATTTACATTTCGCCTTAACAGTCACGTCGATGTATTATACTTATGACCTCAAAATGTATATTAATCGCAAAGTCAATTAAACGTTCAACTGTGCATGCTAACCGCACACTACAGCGAAGTGAAGAGAGTAAACTACGGGTACAGCGGAAATTTTTAATGTTTCCGTCACACTGTGAGGCCATCGAGTACTTAAATATATGCAGGGTAGTAAAATATAAACAAAAATAGAAAAGAGATAAGTGAGCTAATTAAATATGTTTTGGAAGTAACGGAGATGACAAATTGATGACAACAAATACTAGTAGCAAAAATAGTGAAAAATTCTTTAAAAAAAAAAACATTTATAAAAATCAAATGTCAGCAAGGGTATACAATACGCCTTTTTAAAGGCATGAGTCAATTATTACTTATATTTGCATTGAGACGCTGGCTGCTTGATAATCATAAGCGTTGACAAATTGAGAATGACAGATCAGACAGCAAGCAAACATTACACATATGTACATGTGTAAATATTGTATATGATGTACCCACTTACATGCAAATGCAGAATAATGAGAACTACACTGCACTTGTATTTTATATTTTAAAGGCATTTCTCTTACACAGTCATAAATATATTTTGCATTTAGCGTTTCTGACAAATTTAGAAAATTAATGAATAACCGTATTTAATGTACCACAAAAGTATGTAACGCCGAATTGATGCTTAAGTGGCAATAAAAACTGCCAGCTCTGACTTGCGCTGTGATTTACACTGCGAAAAAGTGTTTATAATTAGCCAGTGACGTCAATTCTTTAGAGTAAAATGTAAATAAAATTTAAAAATGTTTTAAGCTTAGAATCAGTTTGCCATATAAAATTGGTCGCTGAGTTCGAAATTTTTCGTTTTTCTATCACGTTGTTTTCAAATATGGGCGAATGTGCTTTTGGTTGATCAAAAGAACTTTGCTTATTTAAAATAACAGTTGTTTTGCTAAAAAATTCAAATCTTCGCCAAAGAAATATATTTCTAAAGTTCAAAATATTTACTAATTTTTGTTGAAATATTAATAGTTTAAACCAAAATTTTTAAACTGATTTTTCAAAAATTAAAAAAATATTATTAATTTATAAACTTGTATTTATTGACAGAGTAAATTCAAAAATATTAACGCAAACATGTTCAAATTCAAGAAAATTGCCAACCTCAACAATCAACAACTTTTAATAAGTTTTTTTAACAATACACTTAACTGCACATTACTGTACTTTGTTGCAAATTTTAATACAGGAAATTACTTTGTCGGCGGTAATATATAAATAACCGCATGTGTATGTCGAAGGCGAGCAAATAAACATTTCACCCACAACAATGCGAAAAATGCGAGAAATGTCCTATTTTGCAATATATTACAGCAACGGTATACACAAACACTTATGCAGACATGCATGTATTAGGGTGATTCAAAAAAAAAATAAGAATGATTTTGTTTCGCTTCGTACTCCGAGAAATTGTTTGATGGACACCTCTTAAAAAGGCACTCTAAGTATAAGCTCTTAATTGTAACGGGAAGGTCCTCCGACTAACGGCTTTCTATCTTTTATTATCAGATAGAAAACTTCATATCTCGCTTCCAACTACTTGAAAACATAGAAAATTGGATTTTGTAGGAAATTGAGCGCTCTACAAACTGGTTCCTTACGGTTTTTTCGTAAACTTAACGGCTTAAAAGATATTGAACCATTAATATAATAAACCTAATAAAGTTTGTCTATTTTAAGGCAAAATTGTTTTTTTTTTATTTGAAATTTATAACTCAATGAAACAATAACATTTTAAACTCCAAAGCTCATAGTATTTTAGGAAATTATATAATTTTTCGATAATGTTATGCGTTTGCGCGATATTCATCGTCAAAGATCAAATGAAAATAGAGAGCCGTTATTCGAAAAACCTTTCTGTTATAATTAAGCGCTCATACTTGGAGAGCTTTTTTAAGAGGTCTCTATCAACAAATTTTTCAGAATACCAAGCGAAAAAAAGCCTTATTTTTTTAACCCACCCTAATATGTATGTGTGTTTATATGTAAGTTGATGTAAAATATTGCCAATTTCGGCAGCAAAGCACAAGCCACCCACCTATCCAGCGAAATTATAAACACAAATGTACATATATATTTCGCATAAGTGCACTGGATGCATGCACAGACACACACCCACTCTCATGTGTGCATAAGTAAATGCAGCTATTTATTTCTAAACAATGTTGCGAATAATTTAGCACAATTTTCGGTTGGCTTTTTCTACAATGTATCTGATTGTGTGCATTTCGGGTATTTAATTTTCGCTGTTGCATGCCACAGCAGCGAGCTAATTGTGCCAAATTGTTGTCGACATATGCGGCTGTGCGGAAGTGCGGTGCCAGCAGAGTAAGAACGCGGCAACTTCAACCGGTTGGACATACAAACACATAAATACTATACTTGTAGATTAAGCGCTGTGTCTGCTGAGGAAGAAGCTCCATTCTGTCTTCTTTGCTCATTGCAATTTCTTTTGCTCACTTTCTAACTCAGTCACTTTCAACAATGTATTCTTAGCCCACTCAAGTGAGCAAAATATTTCGTAATGTAATTGTTTTTTAAATCACAGCGTCAGTTTGTGGTATTTAGAACAGGTGGTATTAAAATAAATATATTGCAACTCAATGTGGCAGGCGGTAGGGCAGTGCGAAAACGTTACAAAAATGTAAAAATTCAATTCGATTCAATTCGTATGCACACGTTTTCGTGCTTAACGGTACATATTTATTGTTGCTGTGGAAATATTGCGATTGCAAAAATACCTTTTGTTTATTAGCTGTGCAATATCCGCATTCTAAGTGCCAGAAATCGTTATAAATATTGATTTTTGCTTAACGAGAAAACCATTTTAATGCTTGAATTTATAGGAAAAGAATTTAACACTCAAAAGATAGCTGTGGTTGAATGTAGAATTTGCTCAATAAATAGTTCAAATCATAATAAAATAATAAAAGCCGCACTAATTAAGATTAAATACGCCTGAACTGCGTGTGGCTTCTAGAGATTTTTACCTCACACGTATTTTAAGAAAGCTATATATGATTTGGGAAGTCTACCCAGTGACCTCCAATTAACTTCAATAACATAACCGAAACAATAATACCCTTCGTAGCTGTATTTCTTATAGAATAAAAATACTTATATGTAAAAAGATCTTTACCTCGATATTGATCGGTCAAAGTATATGGCAACTATATCCTATAGTGATCCTATCTGATCGATTCGTTCGGAGATTGTAGTATTACTTGGAAAATAATCGCTCTCAAAATTCATTCAAGATATCTTGTCAAATAATAAAATGTTCCATACAAGGGCTAGATTTTCACCGATCAGTTTGTATGGCAGCTTTACGCTATAGTGGGGGAGGAAAGGACGTGTGCCGAATTTCAGATCGATATGTCAAAACTGTGTCACCAGTTCGCGTATATACAGACAGACAGACGGATGTGTTTAAATTGAATCAGCTCGTAACGCTGAAAATTTATATATTATTTATATATGTATGTATATGTTTTATATGCTATTTGATGATCTGATGATTTGATCTGGGTGTTACAAACTGCGTGATAAACTTATAACCTCTGTTCAGGGCATAAAAAGTGAAAAAAATTGTTGATCAAAAATAGTGAGAATAACATTAGAGAGATAGTAGAGATTATTAAAAATACGGATCGACATTTTGGTTGACGCTTTGGTCTTTTATTGGGAGAAGTGCTTTCGCTTTCATTGGAGTTCTGAAATTTGGTGCTATCCGGCAAATAGAAGGCGGTAAACGTTTGGAGCTGCGTAGGAACATCTGGTTATTTGCGATTTCCTGCCGGAAACACATTTGTTCTACAACAGAAGTTTGAATGGAGCTTGTCTTCGCCAACCGCTATAGTATGGTAGCTTATCTGTTGATATTTTTACAAAATAATCATCTAGAATCTAACATCTAACATCTCTTAATTTTTCCTCACAAATGGTGGTTTCGCATCATTCCATAATCATAAGCACGTTTGAGCCTTGTTGATTCATGTGCTCTTATCAGAATGGATAATTTGTAGGAAGTCTATCCAGTGGACTTACAAAAGATCTTACAAAAGATAATAAAAATTTTTTGTTACATATTTTCAAAGTTTAGACCTTCAAGAATATCCCCCTAAAACAATTTTTTAACATTCGAATTATTTCCAAAGTTATAGACGTTTTAGTGTCATGACAACTGGACCGATTTAGCGGACGACGAAACTTTAAACGCGTTTTCTCGAAACTACTTTTTTTGAGTTGGTTGACATAATATCTCAAGTTCTACTACTTAATCGACTGTTTTGAAATTTGATAAACATTTTTGTTATACATCTTTTTATCGTGTCTGCCTCGGATTTAGAAAAATTTTAATTTTAAGTATTTTTAAAAAATTCAAGAAGGTCAAAAACAAAGGAATAAAAAAGATTTGTTTTCAAATCGACGCCACTTAAAATTTTTTTTCTTTGGCAAAAGTCAATTCGATAGCGTAATTTTTACTATTAAAGGATTTTTGCAATTTATTTCTTTTAGATCACTGCAAGGGTTGGAAGCACCGTTTGTTTAGCAGCCCCAACTCCGCCGGCTTTTAATTCGACGATTTTTTTATATTCTTTAAATGTTAATAAAAATCATATAAAAAAATTTTATAGTAAAAATATTTTTAATTTTTTTTATCTTAGTTTGAAAAATGCCTAAAATTTAGGTGTCTAGACCAGAATACCCCCATAAGAAATGTTCTATGTTATAACCACTTCCAAACATAAGTCTGCATAAGCTTTTTTCTTTCGAAATGTGCATATACGGCGAAAGTTTTTCAAAGCTTTAAGTTGGTTTGATAAAAGTTATAAGACAAAACTTTCATTGAAAAGCTCGCAACTGTGAAAGCTCCAGAATACCTAATATGAAAATGCAAAAATTAAATGATAAAAGTTAGAAATTATAGTTAATTTGAGTTAGAGTTTGGTACTGTGGTACTTTAAACACAAATATGATAAGAAATTTAAAAGCTCTTTTGATTTAATAGCGCTCTCTCTCTTATTACATATATATATAAATTTCGACCTATTAATAAATTACTTAGATTTTAGACAAACAAATTTCTTTATTATTGTAATGATTTAAAGACACACTATTTGTTTGAAGTCGAAAAAATAAATGTTAAATGCCTAGACTATAAGGCTCGTCATTTTTTATGTTAGCCCGTTGGTTCGAAGTATTAACACATAAGTAGTATATACCATTAATTCTTAAAAAAAACTTTAAATTATCGTAATCAATACATAATCCGTGATAATATTAAATAATTTTCAACTAATCTAGATAAGCGTGAAATATTTAACAGAGAAAACAGATTGTAAACGAATTTCACTTGGAAAATGTTTCAACCTTTTCAGCATAACAAAATTATAATTACAGAAATTTGGCAAAAAAGAGAAGTGATTACCAAACGAACAACAGGCGGATGCATTGAACAAAATTCATGTGGCTTAACTGCCATTGCAACGCCCGCAAATCCTTTAAACACCACTCTAGCCGATTTTAATGCTTGGCAAGGTGTTGCGGCATGTTGCCGTGTGTTGGGGCACTTGACCTTTATTTTTTCGATTTTTTTCAATTTTAGATTTTGAATTTATATGTGGTTTTTATTCAACAGCCAACAGCAGAAGAGTAATTTTCGTAAAGCGGAAAAAGCGATTAAGCGGAAAGGTGCGAAAGGAAGAGAAGGGAAAAGTAAAGATGGCAAGCAACAGCTGGTAAGTCGATAAAAAACACAAAAGACATATAAAATCTGAGGTGTCTTGCTGCGTTGCAGGTTGCATACGTTCGGTTGGTGGCAGCAACTGTGAGTAACAAACACAACTGTACTGTCACTGCGCATCCTAGCAGCATACACCATCACGCTTGGCAGCAAGGAACAACAGGTGGGTGCTGTGACAAGAAGGAGCTGGATAAAAGCGTCGAATGCGGCGCATTGTGAGAGCAAAAACAAACGATAATCGAATAAAATATTTACGTTGACTTTTTTGCGTGTGGCCCTTTTAGAGCACAACTCTATTTAAAAGGTGAAATACATACAATTGAAAGTATAAAAAACCGTAAATTGTAGAATGCATAAAAGTAGCCTTTGTCTTTGCATTTTGGCAATTAAATTTCATGAATGGCGGTATAGCTGCAGACTTCTTCTAAACACAGGACCTCACGCCGGTATTGTTTATATATTTTGCAAATCACTCTCTTGACAAGCACGCGATTCGTTTGAAAGGTTGAACACAACTCAATATTGTTGTAGAATCACAAAAGTTTATCGAAAAAAAAACTAATTGTTTAGTTAAAGGTCGCCAACGTCAAATGCGCTGCAGTAAAAATTAACTTGTTTAATTTTTTTAAGGACCACCTCGGTTTCAGTAACTGTTTATAGATTTTTTTTTTATTGTTCTTAAAACAAATTCTCTCGAACTCAAATTGCAAAGTCTCGTGGGATCAATTGTTTACTTTTTTCACAAAAATGTCATTCCTTTGGAGGATTAAAACAGAGTTGTATAAATATTTTCCTTGGTAAATATGTCATCTGGAAGTGGCGCTTATTTGTTTCGATTGACAGAAGCTAGACTGGTGCAAACCCTTCGATAGAAGCAACACTATCTAAACGTTAAACAGAACACAATTCATGCACGCGAACACAGTGATGAAAGAGAAATATGCTACATTATAGATATCTAGTACTTAAGATGACCCAAACATCAATATTTTCACACTGAATTTATTCATAATGGATACAAAGAAGTACAATAAGGTACATTAAATGTAATTCTGCTTTTTAGAGAAGTTAATTTCACAATTATTCGCACAAAATTAAGGTTCGAAAAAGGCATATACGAGTATAGGTTAGGTTAGGTTAGGTTAGGAGGTCGATCCCAAGAAGGATCCCACTTCTTCACAAAACTTTTAGATGGCAATTCGTACACTGATATGCAGTAGGCATCAGCAATATCGACTTATATGTACCCAATGCAACATATTTGAAAGGAATGTGACAAACTTGAAACGAAAAAATTCTTGGCTTATGATTTCTGGTATTAAATCTATGTATTTAGTTAGTACATGCTTCCAACACTCTGTATTGCGAAAATTCGAAATTTGAGGAACAATTTCACTTCAAACTTTGAACAAAGTTTTTAAGAGTCGTTCGTGGCATTATTAAAATAGCTTATATAATAATGTTTATCTCTCGTTACTGAAGTTTAAACTATCGGATATTCAGCGCAGCTTACAATGTCATAAAAGAAAATTTAACATTGCAATAAAACCCTTAAATAAAAACACAAAGAGCAAATTAAAGAAATTGTTCAAGGCTAAGCAGATAAACGTGGATCACCCATAAAATTAGTGTTTTAAAAAAAGTATGCAACAAATATTTAATAATTTGAAGTAAAGAAAATTCCAGAAGAATATATATAAAGGATATTGATCGCCTCTTTAATTATTTGCATGGCTTAAATACTTAATTGTGTGAATTTTATTCAAAAATAAATGGATTATAATTAAAATAGCAATTTGGGTGTGTATCCGGTCGCTACCTGATCGAAAGTCTCAGCTAGCCAGGTATTCTAGAGAATGCTGGCATTGCAATGTATAGAAATAGCACATTTATTGTTCTACCAAAAAAATAAGTGCGAGGAATAAGAAATTAAGCTAAAGCAACATAAACATATATACGGGTATTTTATTTTCTAAGAAGCTGTTGGTTCAGTATAATTTACTTATACATACATACTAGGTATATACAATATTAGGTTCGCTCAAGTACATGCTTGTTTAAAGTAGCCATGGCTTTTCCATGGATAATGCATCAATAAAGTTGTGACGAATGTCAACAGGATGTCAGCAAGCGTGACGGCATATGCGTTGGTGCCAACAATTACTACTCACAGACATAATGAAGACATGAACAATTACATATTTATGTACATACATACATACATACATACATTTATGTACATACATGCATACATATGTACGGCAATATTTGGATAAACAACCATAGCTAATGTAAAGAATAAAATATGTCGAGACAAGCAATAAAGAAAAGTTGATGGCCGCTACTTCAAGGACGACTAGTAGCAAAATATGTCCTTGACATTTTTCTCTTGGGGCTTTAAGGCGTTCTCGACAATTTTACTTAACACCTTAAACTGAAAGACGTACAGTGTCGACGAAGCTACGCAGTCCATTGTTAATGTCTTAAACGCGAAACGTTTCCAGAAATGCTGAGCATAGCTTTGTTACTTACGCGGGCTAAAGTAAAGGACATCATTTACCTATTTATGGTTTATAGCAGAAAGGGAGACAACTAAATCTTTCAACATGAAAGGTAACATTTCTATTTAGTATTTATTTTCGTACATTTTCCACGCTGTTGTGCTGTTTACTTTGTAAAACCCTTAGTAATTCCTTAGTACAGGCGTACAAAACAGCGACTTAAATTGTTATTTTCTTTCACTCTACTTTTACCTCGACAAAGCGATCTATTGGCGTAACAATTTAATCAATGCGGTAGGTCAAATATCCTTTGGTCTGGAAAATACTAGTCGTTGTTGGCATGAATCTTTACACATATCAATATGTTTGTATTTGTATTTGTATTTAGTTGCAGCGCAAAATGTGTGTTTCGTACTTAAAACACACAATTTTTGCTTCTTGGGCAAACAGCAATGCTAGTGATAGTTATTTACCTGTTAAATAGTGTTCACTCGCCACACAATAAATTGACCATGTGTACGGTGAATTTTCCCAGGCTCGAAAATGCTTAAACATGCACACAAACACATGGCTACATTCGCATATGTAGCGGTGCTAAAAGAATACTCGCCGTCTAACGCATATTTTAGCTAATCGCTTATGTTATTTAGTCGTCGACGATTTCTTTTCTACCTAAACGAGCCCATCTGCAAGCTGTTTAATCTGCGCATATTTTTTCGATCCTAGCAATATACACATTGCTCGGGCATTTACCCAAATATTTGTCAGAACATTGCAGTAATAATTACTTTAGTTTAAGCTTTGCATACAACTAAGCTAGCTTATCGGAATGGTTGCAAGGTCTAGCCATGTTTGTCTAGTTGAAAATCCGCTTTGCGTCCCCTTGCTCTATACGCCTTATCTATTAAGAACAATCCTTGTAAGAGAATATTTTACTGGCATAATGCAACTAATTTTAAGCAGCTTGAAATTTTCGTCTTCTTAAAAGATAAACTTGTTGTCACAACTCTTAGTACGCCGATTTTGTAGATAAAAAAACAATGAGAAGAGAACGGTGTAAGATATATGCATGCTTATAACTTCAAATTCCTTAGGCTAGTCAATTACGTAGGTGTAGCTTAGTAGTTTATCTAGCTTAATCTCTTTCGCTGTCGAGGTGGAGCGATTACAATGGTTATATGGTAGCTGTAGATAAATAAGGTGTACTTTCTTTTTTTTACCTTAATTCATTGATCTGTATATCAGATTGAATGATTTAGATATCGAAACACTGAGTAAGTCTGTAGGCGCGTGGTGAAACTGGAAAGGTTTGTCTTCCAAAAACACCTTTTATTTGATAAAATAAATTTTTTTTTATAATGTATTTTGTATGCGTTAAGTAATAAGTTCAAATTACTAATTTTTGGATAAATCCATTAGAATGAGCAAGTTTAAATCATCGTCAGAATCTAACACTGTGAGCCGCCCTAAAAGTAAGCATAAATAGGTACTTCTGGGCTAGTTTGATTCTTATGTTCTGGATGACAATCTTTTGACGTTACGTATCCAAGAGAGAAACCTAACCCATTCTTCTTTTTGACGGTCATCAAACCTTCTAGAATTATGTTTTTCTAAACATACTAGAATTTTGTTTTGAAATCAGTCATATAAGTAAGGCTAAAATGTAGTGAAAGCAAAGCGAAAGAAAGCCGACTTGTTAACTATGCGGTATATTCAGCATGTATTGGTTAATCACGTTACAGTCTCTGGTACGGTTAGAATAACAAAAATATCATATTTTCAGCACAAGTCTTTCAAAACGTTTATGATGTGAATTTTTCGTCATCTTCCTACTTCAATACCACAAAAGGTAAACCATTGAACGGTACTTTGAATTCTAAACTATTTATTTTAATTGAAACAAAAATTTTCGTATTTTAAAAATTAGTATCAATGAAAAAGTCTACTAGTATCTTAACGTTCCCACACTTTTCGATTCGCAATTATAGGCTAGAACCTTGAAATATTTGTAAAGACCAATTCCACCTTTTAACAACACCCCCACTGGGTTCTATGTATTCCTGTTGTTAGGCACAATTTGGCGTAAAAATTTGCACTTCCGAAAAATTACAATTACATTTTACGAAAGGCGGAAGAACATCCCGCTTTGCGCTTCCTATTCAAGAAGGATATTTAACATGAGTACTTCAAAGGTGAATCATTCAAAAGCAGCTGTCTGTTAATAAGTAAAGCAACAACATCAAATACCTTTCTGCCATAATTGTTCGTGATTTCTTTATGATAAAATCATTTCAAATGAAAAAATAATTTCGTCTGCACTGACCAAAAAAAAAACTCCACATATACATATGTAGAGATATATATGTTTGCATGGTCGCCGCATTGTTTTGTCATTAATTTTGTAATGCGATTAATAAGGGCACACACAATTTTCGCATGTTTTTCTTGTTTCAGCCATTATATAATACTGATAAAGGGCAATTGACATTGAAAGATAACACAAATAATATTGTAAATGCTTCTTTCTTGTTTGTGTATTCTTCATTGTTGCATTAGCAATGCTGCCACCAATGTAACGAGCCGATGCTATTTTGTTTGCAATATAAACAAATGATACCGGAAATGTACGGACTAGCCTATCGAAAGTGCTCATGCTGAGCACATAGTGGCTGTTGCTACTTGTTATCGGAAGTTATAAAATGCTTCAATTAGTTCAGCTATGACATACTAGAGATATATATTTATAATTTAAATATGGTTCTAGAGAATTCTAAATTTAAAGGCATTGCAATCGAATATATGGATATAAGAAGTGCATAAATATATCCATGCATCTATATAAGCAGAGAACTTGTAACAATTCTTGTATGTACTATGATAATAATAGTATGGTTTCTTGGTTAATTGAGGTTCCGAAAAGTCAGTATTATTAATATTCATACAATGTCAAAAGTTCAAACGTGTTTCTTTAAAAGCGCTCCTAGTTCTTGGACCGCCTTAAGGTATGCAATGTTTTCACTAACGATTTACTAACACTTAAAATTGTTAAAATGGCTCACTACCCTCCGCGATTCACAACCACAAAGCAGGCAGCAAAGCTAGCAACCACATATTTGAATTTATTCCATATATACGCCAGCAGGTGGCGCAGTAGTACGTGTTCTGCTAGAGAACAATAACTGTGTTTTTCTTTTCATAAATAATTTTTAAAATATATTTATTAATCAATTAGTTTTAATTATTTAATTATATACAGGTATATATACTTTATTATTAAATAAATTCAAAAAAAAACCATCTCCGCGAAAATTTTTATTGTTTCTATACATGCAACCCTGTGTTAGTCACCCTTCTTTCACACAATTCGCCGTCAAATGGAAACCAAACAATTCAGTGAAATTTTAAAAGTCGTCGCGAGTGGTTGTTTTCTCATCAATTAATTGTGTTACGAGCAAGTATTTTGAAACAGAAAAAATCGTTTAAAGGTAAGAGAAACGTGTAAAAACCTAATAGGAACTGACGACTGCATATACACACTGCCGTCCGCGTCCCGCAGCCGGATATGTGTTTGTTTGGTAATGTGTGCGCCTTGTGTAGAGAAGAAGCTTAGAAAAGGAGACGGTAAACAGTAAATAAATGCATTTTTTTTTCCAATTCCAACTGGTGTTGAGCGTATTCGTGTCTTTCATATTAATATATATTTATTTTTAACGGCTGCCTTCAGCATCAACGTGTTTTTACTTCTGAAATGATTTAATAATGTAATTTCAAATTGGCCGCATGACCGGCGACTGGATGTGAATAGCAAAGAGTTGACTGCAAATGTGTTTGTGCTTGTAAGTGCTTGCCAGTGTATATAATAAGTGGAGGGAACCGGCGACTTTGGTAGCGGTATTCGCGGTGTGTTTTTGATTACGAAGCTAGCGTCAGCGTCGTTGACATCAATTAATTGCAAAAGTAGCCAAGACAAAACAACAACAATATTGTGTGAGAAAAAAAATATATAAGCGAAGTCAACGACCAAAAATAAAGAAATTAATTGTTGGTTAAATTTTTTTTTTTGTTTTTTTTTTTTGAAATTCTCGTCTTATAAGTATTACTGTATTATTGTTTTTGTACGTACTCTTGTTTCTTTTGTAGCATTAACGAGCGGTTAATATTTATAGAGTGGTGCAGTAGTACAGAAATTTGGAGGGAGGAGGAAGCTTTACAAATTTTTGGAAATTTTCCATTAACACAGCAGCTGCGTCAATTCGAATATACGATATATTGCTAACTTCACTTTTGATTTGTACAGTTCATACATTTGTTATACCTACTTGCACTTGTGGGAAAATCGAAAATGGTGCTGACGAACTTTGAGTGCTGGGCACATGGTGGCGGCGCAGTCATTGGTAACGCTGAATTGTCGGTTAATTCTCGTGACATGGACATGTTTAATCCACGAGAAGTGCAGCAGAGATTGAATACCGCAAACACAGGCACATCATCTGTGTCACACATTTCCTCCAATGGTTATTATGGATTCTCCTATGTGAATGTAGCCCACGAGCTAGGTGACAATTACCACCGCAACGGTATTACACACGACGCCAACAATATTAATAATAACAACAACAATAACACATGTGTGCCAAACGCAAATGATGTCAATGGCATGGATGTTGGCGGTGCAACCGCTGGCGCAGCTACTGTATTTGGCAGCGGTATAGGTGCCACACAGCGCCGTAAGAAGCGCTACTTTGTGAGTGACGATGATTACGCCAACTGTGCGTTGCTCGATGGCTGCGACAGCGGCGTTGGCATTCATGATGTCGCAGTCGCCGGTTTGGATGGGTGCGCGCCAAAGCGCTGCCGCTTCGACAATGACTATGCTGTCGCTCCGTCTTGTAATGGTAAATTCATTCACCTTATTCTTTTCTATATTTATTTATGACTTTTTTGTTTGACTTTGTTTTTATTTCGTATTTTGCTTGCGTCAAATTGTTGTTGTTATTCTTATTGGATTCTTTTTTGTTTGCTTTCCATGGCTGGTGTTTATATTAGCTTTCAATTTGTTGTACGTGTTTATTGCAGCGGCTAGTTGTTGTATTCGTTTTGTTTTTGTAATTGTAGGAGCACTTGAAGAAATGTTTATTTTTGTTAATTTAGAGGTCAAGTGATCTATTTATCTACACACATATTTGTGTATGTAATTACATATATAATATGTAATGTAGCAGTAAACGTTATTAAATTACATTTTCACACGTTTGAATGTCAATTTTATTAATAAAATTTTGTGCAATATTTTAATAGTTAAAAATTAAATTTGCTAAAATTTCTTTACAACGTAAACATACAAGAGTTAACGAATGAATAATTCAGTCAGCACTAAATTTTAAATATTAGTTTCATAATACATTAATATCGTGAATGCCAATAAAACAACTATTTTTATTATATTTTTTTTAACTGTTCCACTTGTTTTTTTCCACGCACGCCGTCATATTTAGTGCACAAACTTCTTCTTCGACTAAAATTTGCTGCCCATTAAATTTTTAGTTTATCTGTTTACTTATTCATTGTTTGTATTGTGAAAAATTACTAGCATTACATTTAATATAATGCACGTTGTAGGTGCTTTATGTTACAACACTATAGTATTGCCAAAATGGTTTGCTAGCCGCTAGTCTAGCAAGGCCGAAACTAAGTATAGAGTATAGTTTAATAACTCTAGGTATAAAGTATAGTTATTAGACAACAAATAACCCAATAAGCAAAAATAGTTTCATAAAAGCCCTCATATTGATTTCGATTTTGATAAAAAATCTTCAAACTAAAAAAAATCTTACCTGATCAATCTGAGCTGATCAAATTTGAATCCGACTGCCAAAAAACTACTACCTCATATTTATATGTATAAACATAGTACTTATGTATGTATGTAAGGGTATTTAATACATGTATGAATATATGTATTACTCTAAGTTTTCTCACATATTTTCTGGTTTCGGTTTGTTTCTAAGCACAATCACGAAATTTCGCTTAAAAATTAAAAATAGCATTTAAATAGTTTGGTATATTTCCATTCAAACATACATACATATGTATGTACATGTTAGTATATAGTATATTAAAATTTTTAATGACTCGTTCAAGCGTTTATGCATGGCTGGGAATTAGTATTGTGTCAGCACCTTACATACATATGTACATATGTAGGAATAACTGTAGTTGATGGCTTTGATGAGCCCCCCTCAAAAAGCATTTATTAGAAATTTTTGCTTCGAGTTTTTGTTTTGTTTGTTTTTATTTACTTGTCGTGTGCACATGGTTGATAGGGGAGGCCCGACACATCATTTTATTAAAAAAAAAAATATAGATAAGATAAGATAGTTGCATTTGTTTGTGTAAGTTGAACTTTTTTTACAAGTGGTGAGTTTTCGTGCTTATACATACATTATTTCTTAAAGGTTTTTTATGTCAGAATAGTAGAAACAAATTATTTAAGTAAGATCGTACGAATAGTGCACTATATTGATTTATTTATTACACCAAAAAAGATGTACATTTGTACAAAAAATATATATATAAATACATATGTATGTATATAATATCATGTACACCAAATATTCAACATGTACAAATATTATGCGTTTTTTTTTTTGTATTGATAATCTCATTTTCATCATGTCAAATTGTCATAATAATAATAATAAATACCACCCTCACCCCCAACACGCCTTTTTGGTTATTGATTGTTAGTCACAATGCGACAGAGCTTTGATAATTACAATGCAAGTAAAAAACTGTTTCTCTTCTACTGTCATGTTCTCCTGAACATTGACATTTGATTAATTCTGCATTTTATCTAAATTGCACTGCAGTTTTTGCTTGTAAAGAAACGTGTCATTATATTTAATATGTACACATCGATACACAATTACTCTCCAATTAATTAAAAATGCGCAGCACATTCTTAATGCGACCGGTATTTTCAGAGCAATAGCGCAATGCCGCACTGCTGATGCTCGCTTGAAAAAAAGTTCATAATTTTTATCGCCAAAGAGAACAAGCTGTTCAGCAACTCTGTGTGTTTGTTGGTTTTGCATTTACAGCACATTTATTTTTATCCATTTGGGTCACACCGCTCGCGACGCTGTTGACTGCAGCGAAGTGTAGCTGTGAGTCAGCGCTGACTGTGACTGCGCGGCGGCAACGAGCAGATCAAGATAAGGTGTTATAACTTGTTTAGAACTACTTTTAATAGTGTACTTATGCCTGAAACATGGCAAATTATTCTTAATCTCTGCTCCACACTTTTTAATGATTTTTACCTATGTATATTACAAGGATTTCTGTTTTAATCTACCTTTGTTGCTTACACGCTTTAAGTGAATGCATGCTTGTTTACATATTGATTGTTTTATCAACACGTTTGTGCTATTACAGATTTCTTCGCGCTCCCCTCTACACAAATTGGCACGCAGTCTTGTCTAATGGATACTGAGGACATACAACAACAACAACAACCACAGGTAGATGTCAATACCGGCGCTGCAAATTTCACCAATCAAACCAACAGTACAACAAGTAATACACACTATATCACAACACAAGAGCACGATCAGTTGATGCAACAACAACAACAACAACAACAACAACAAGTAATTAATGCTTCCAATTATCAGCAACAAAACGAAGCGCAAGCACCTCCAGTAGTTGTATACCAACAACAACATAATTATCAAGGTCACTTGCATCGCGCCAATCGGGATGTTAGTCGTTGCTTATTGTCGCACATGATCTAAATTAGACCAAACAGAAACGTACATATCGTTCAGCGCAAATACAATTTAGCAAAATATTAGACTAAGACAAAATATAATATAACGAACATAAATGAAATTACAATGAATAGTCATGAATTTCACTTTATAATTTTAATTTTTATAATTAAAAAAAGCGTATTATTTTTCTAAATTTTTCAAATTCGCAACGAATTAGATTTTAGTTTATTATTTTATGATTATTTTAGCTGCTATGCAATATTAAAGCAACTTTGAGTACCTTCGCTTAGCATAATTCTATTATAAATTAAATTTTGTATAATTGCTTTTATGTATGCTAAAATAGTAGTTATATTTTAAGCAACAAGCAACCAAACCACCTCAGATGCAATACTAAAAACACTACTTAAATACCTGGTAACGCAATATATAAATATACATACTTATACATATGTATGTAAATATTGTTTTTGTAAAATTATGTATTTATGTAAAATATTTGTATAGTTTGCAACTGAATTTTTGTATGCACAAATGTACTTAAATGAAATTGAAGTGTAATTGCTTGTGAAATTAAATGCAAGGCATACAAATTATTTTTAAAAAATGTATGCATCATTTCACTTTGTGCTAGAATAAGTGAATATACAGTATGAATCCGTTGGCACATATTTTTATTGGATTTGTAAGCTTAAATTTCGCACGAGAGTTTATATGCCATTGCCGAAGATAAGCGTTGGAAGAGCTTCTGAAAAGTGTGACAAATTATACAGATCGGTATACAATAATAATGTGAAATATTGCATATAATCGACTACTAAAATATACTAAACATATGATGACTAATGAGTTGAGCATTAAATATACGTGTGTATGTATATCAATATTTTTTACCGAACTAAAAATTACCAAATTTTAGACAAACACAATTTTTAACAGCAATTCCATGTACATATATTAATCGTATAAATACATCAGTTATGAAATTGCAAATAAAGCACAATAGTGAAAATTATTTATATTTTGTATATTTAAATATGCTAATTTAAGACAATGAACACGTATACGAATGTATATATATTTATTTTGAACAAGCTCTCCAAACTTGAGACTCTGTTCTTCTAACTGTTTGGCGACTATAAATGACTAACATAACGATTGGTTCACGTATTTTAGCAACGACTTGTTAAAACTTTAGAAGCTGCTTGTGTTTATATCTTACAAAGAGTACATACAGGACTTCAAAGAATCAACACAATCTCGTTGCGCTTGTGTGCCTATTTAGGCAAGTGAACCGTAAATGATATATATATTAATCCCGTGCAAACATTTTTTATAAAAATTCTTTAAACTACAGTATTTTGATATGCAAGTAAAACATTTTATAACTCTCAAAAAATACAACTTCATTTTCGTATTGGCTAAATTTATGCTCTTATTCATACTGTTGTTGTTTTGTTGTCATGCTGTTCATACATACATATGTATAAAATAGACCACTGCAAGTCAGTCCAAATTCTACACATATAAAAACACATATGTAGATTCACATAAATATGCAAATTTGGACGCATTCCAATATTTTGTTACTTCAACTCACTCTCTTCTTACTTTCTTACAGCAACAAAATGCCAACAAGCCATAGATTATGGTGTTAATTTAAACGTATATCACAATAATAATAATAATAATAATACAACTAACAAATATAGCAACAAACTCTTTTACAATAACCAACACCGTTTGGGTTGCGGGAAGAGCAGAAGTGTTGATAAAAGTTGTGAAAACAGCTGTACTGTAGATGTGCTAGACGCTCATTTTGTTGGTGTCAATGAGAACAATCCATATTTAATGCAGCAAGCAAAGTTTCCTTCATTTGCTGTTGATTGCATGAGTGATGAGAGTTCTGCAGTAGAAGCAGCAGCAAGAAGCACCAATGCGGATAATTCCGTCTTAGCAGCGTTGTATAACAAAACACATGGCGGAGCATTTTACCAGTTTGAAGTAAGCAACAACGACAATCAACCGTATGTTGAGGATATTTGAGAAACTTGTTTTATGAGAAGCGGCGCGTTAACAAACCCAAATATCTCCTTATAGCCAAATAAAACCAAAAAAAAAAAAAAACCTAATTACGAATGTTTGCATACAAACATATGCATGTTTAAAAATAGGAACTAATGAACGGATTTTTGTGAATCAGTGAGAAATACAATACATATAGCACGAATTTAACAGTTTCTAAAATTATGCATTAAGTTTGAGTTCAAGTGTTAGCAATCGCGAGAGAGAATTAAACTCTAAATTATGTGAGAGGATGTGAATGGGACGCCTTGTATACGAATCGGTGATAAGAAATAAAACTTTGCACAAATAAAAGTTAAGAATGGCGAGTTTTTTTGTAAAGCGCGCTGAGGTATGAGAATTGAACATTAATGATTTGGAAAAAATGCAAAAACTTAGAGCACATGAAAAGAAATATTTAAATAATACAACTATTAATAATACTATTATTAAATCAAAATAACTGTAAATCAAATTATGTTTGAATATATGGTATTAACCACCTAAATAAGTATATACATATGTACGTGTATACGCGCAGTAAACCATATCACGTAATTAAAACCGAATAAACTCACTCACTTTTTAAACGATTATATTAAAAAAAATCAAACATAACTACGTTTACCCTATTTACACTGAAGCATGGTACTTGTCGTTTGTATTAACAAGTGATCGCTTAATGAAATACTAATAGTTGCATTTTAAGTTAACTTAACTTGAAGAATAAATTGAAATTGTCTTAAAAAAAAGTAATTTATTTAAACCGATTGTGAAAGAGCAAGCTATGGAATTGAAGAATATCTCTGAATTGTAGTAAATTTAATAAACTGAAATCAAATAAATTGAAATATTTATGAAGTTATGGTGACAGCCTGTTGGATTTCTACATATATACTTTATGCAAATCAGTTTGCTTATAACAAATTTATAACATTACTCTCTTTAATTAATATATTTTTATTTATTATAAGAACATTTAGTATGCCGCAGTCAGAATTCATCAACAATAATTCGGTATAGCCCATACTTTTATTTATTACATATGTGTGTACACTTGTATGACAGATTGCACCTTTGAACTCAATGTTCTGTCCGGAACTGTTACACCTAGTGGCCCTTCCTAATGCCAGATTATCAGTTTAAGTTGAGGTGAAGTATTCGTAATACAGGACGTCAACGCTTAATGCGAACTTTAAGAGCTACTTGATATCTAAATTTGATACTTCGTTTAGTCCCTTGAACTGCGAAGCTCCTGGATATTTAAGACGAGCTCTAGATAATGCTGGATAGAGGTATAGGAGGTGTTCCAGCGTCTCTCTCATACCTACATGCAAATATCGTCGTTACTTATGCACATCCGGCTTGCATGTGATGCCAATAGGTTGTGACCTGTCAATAGGCCAATAACCATCCGGCCTTTTATGTTCCTTCCGCCTGGAAGATACTGCAGAATTCCGGAAGCTTGAAATGTCGCCCGAGATCCAGCTCCGAGCAAACGATTCCGGCTCCTCCTCCGGGTGCGTTCGAGCTACATAATAATTGCAGCAGTACAGCTACGTGTTGCTGTTGCAAGTGTTGCCAAAAATTCACGCAGATCGTGATACTTTGACAAATTTACAACACTGCTGTCGCAGAGAATGTAAAATAAATAATCTACATTCTTTGACTGTCGTGATTGCCATCTCGAACGCACCCTCCACTGTTAAAGATTGCATTATTGGAGAGATTGTTGAATGCTTCACTTATGTCAAGAAAGACGTCCAGAGCATATTCTTTATGCTCTAGAGCACTTTCTATATTTATGGTTAGCGTAAGAGTTACCCTTCGTATCTGCGTGCTGTGTTTTCGATATGTTAGCACATAGTTGTCTCTAATATAGGCGTCTTGAGTGACTTATAATTCCCAAAGGATAGGTACATAGTTAATCCTTAAACATCCTTCGTATAATGTGATCAGGTAAGGTACCAGCGCTGTTGATACATTCTGCATCATGGCTGAAGAAATACTGTCCATACCAGGCAATTTAAACAGTTCGAAGCTGTTACTTGCCCAATGTATTTTATCCGACGTATTCTACGCTACCTCCTACACGTTTGAGATAGATAGCATTCGTTCACCCTGGAAAATGCGTGTTGACCTACTCTTCACATTTTTTGCGTAGTAGCCTAGGCGTAGTTGGGTGCTTGGATAGTAATTTCCTAAGCCTAGCTACCTCGGTTGTCTTTTCTAACTTCCCGCAGAAGTTCTTCCACGACTACTTCTTGGCTTTACGAATTTAATTTGTACGCATTGCCAAGGCCAACATTTCAATAAAATACAAAACACAACACTTTTAATTACAACATATATATAAATCATTTAAAAGTTTTCACTTTTGAATACATTTTCCATAACTTTCACTCATTAAGCCACTACGGACGCGGAAATTTAACCGGAACTGTAAATACGGAGTTTCCAGGCACAGAGTTGCTTCGAAATACAAATGAATTCACAACTAGCTGGAAAGTGGAACTTCCATATAAGAAGACATATTTTTCAAGGAACATTGTTTACACATATGAATTCTAAAACAAATAACCGAAGTTTGTTATTTAATGGTTTAATAAAGAGCTTTTTAATTAATATTCCATTTCCATTTGAAATTAATAAGCATATTTTACAAATAGCATTACCACCATTATACTATGTTTCACAGCGGCCTCTGCCGGCGAAAATCAACACTAATTACAAGGGAAGCAATTATTAGCATATAACTATTTGTTTGAATAACTACTGTGCTTATCGTTAAATTTAATGCGCTTTTAAAAAGTTATATTTAATATTAATTGCCATTTTATTCAAACTGCTAACATGAATGCGTCTCTGTCACTTCAAAATTTTTATCTGCATTTTTCTTTTGCTTTCTAGAATTAAGTGACAGCATGGGATGTGTGTCAGCATTTGTTTATAATATCAAACATATAATAAATACATCCGCAAAGTTCAAAATTTTTGGAGAAATGAACATCCTTTGTAAATAGGCCGAGTAAGCGTCATAACAAAAACGTCAACGTCAAGGCTTGTATAAAGTTTCTCTCTCATCACTTTTAAAAGATGTATACTAAATAATAATTTATCATACTAAATATTTAAACTTTATACTTATCTAAATAATTAATTTTTGTACATTTTTTAAATCAAATCAAATATATGCATTAAGCTGCTGCTTCGGCAAGCGCTGCCGCCGAGTGACTTGTGCGATTGGTGGCCACTCGGTGCCTCGTGTTTCTTATCACCAACAAATACCAAGATCACACAACAATTATATAATATTTAGCGTATGCGTAAGTCTCATCTGATTATTATTAGCCTAAGAGCTTCATGAAAAATCACATTGCCAAAAGGCAACAATAATCTTGTTAAAAATATTACACAGCCAACATATTATATAGAACATACATGCATACCAGTGCATTACCAACCAGGTATCAAAACGCCGTTGCTTAAATTTTTGTTTTTTTTCGACCTTGAAGTGTAAAATATAATGCATGCTATCTTGTTACTAATATTATAATTACTTTGTATTATACGCATGTATTTTATGGTATAGATAATGCATTTTAGTAATTTTACATAAATATATATAGCAAATGCGTATACCTGTAGATTTATGCAACCCCTTTCACTACTGTGACACAAATTGGCTGCAATTTCGTTAACTTGCATTTTGGGTTATACTTCGCATATGGTTTATAAATAATTGTAAAGTAATACTTTATTGCAGCGATCATCAAATTACTCTGGCTTCTCTTCAGTTGTCGAATAAATCTTTCGCCTTTTACTAAAGATTTCCGTGGAGAGGAGCACCTTAATGAGTCTATGAGAATTTTTTGTAAGGTTTGCTACCATATTTGGTAGCGAACCGCTAATTGATACATTGCAGTTTAGTTACGAGGTAAATACAAAGAAACAGCTAATGATTTTAAGACATTTGCAGTGTTCTGTATTGATTCTTATCATAAATTGCTGTAAATTAATTTAATGCAGACTTAAGATATTTGTTTTTTAGAAAACTTTTTTGTAATATTAAAATTTAATATTTTAAAAATGCATAAATAAATGCATATTTTTACAAATTTAATTTTTCTGTAATGAAAACTGGTTAAAGAATAACGTACCGCCACTATATAACAATCACGTGGACGAAGCACGTACTTTGGCATTTTCCAGCTTAATAAAATTTTCTCGAACATCCTTTACCATAAAATTAACTAAGTTTTTCAAATCGTATTTATGCTGCCAACCCCAGTCGCGGCGAGCCTCAGAATCGTCAAAAACTTGTGGCCATGAATCGGCAATTTCCTGTCGACTATCTGGCTTGTAAGTCACGTGCAAATTGGGAACATAACTACTTAATTTCTCTACCAGTTCTTCGGGGGTGAAAGACATGGCCGTTACATTGTAGACGCGACGTTTCAAATTTTCCGATGGTGCGCGCATAAATTCCAGCAAGGCACTGCAAAAATGTGTGTGTTAAAACGGCAATTAGTTAAAGATATTTCGGTTTCGGTTAACAACGCTATATAAAAAGTTTTAAACTTACCGCAAACAATCTTCAATGTACATCATGGGAAGACGTGTGTCTGGACGCAAGTAGCAGGTGTACTTGCCGCTGCGCAGTGCTTCATGAAAAATGGCGACGGCGTAATCTGCGAATAATAAGAAAAGTAAAAATATCATAAATAATTTGCATGCTTTTATTTGAAACTAAATTATATACATAGTTTAAAATACACTTCTTCATTCATTTCGTTACGCTGTTCTTTCTTACGTCTTGCTTTCTGTGCGGCAATGCTTTGAAATTTACTCAATTAAGTTGGGTTATACTCATCACAATCTGTACGAATTATTGGAATCCACATTTGTTCGGTACAACATTATGTACGCTCCAGTGTTTTTGCCCTTCTCTCACTACACAATTATTGCAAATTGCAACAGTTTTGAGTTCGTAAATTGCATATTTAATAAAGTGAAAACAATAATCGCAAATATAACATTTTCTTTATTGTTGTCAATATTAAATAGTGAGTTTGTTTACATTACTCATTGATAATTCTAATTTATTGTGCATTTTATTAAAAATTACATTTCTATACTGAGGGCATTGGAAATGTGTTTTTCATTTTAAAACTTTTATTGAAATGAGAAAAAACGTTAACTTCGTTGGCACCGAAGCTGTAACACGCTTCAAAAATACAAAAGATTACATACAAGAATTGGATTTTGATCGGCAAGTTTGTATGGCAGTTATATGCTATAGTGGTCCAATCTAAACAATTTATTCAGCGATTTTACCGTTGCTTTAAACAATAATCCGTGCCAAGTTTCGTCACGTCAAATGAAAAAGTGTTCCATACAACAAAGACATGATTTTGAACGTACAATTTGTATAGTTGTAGGCTATAGTGCTTCGATATCCTGTGGTTCCGTCAAATGAGCAGCTTTTTGAGGAGAAAAGGACTTGTATAAAATTTCAGATCTGTATCTCAAAAACTGTGAGATTAATTCGCGTATATGCCGACAGACGAACAGACATGCGGACATGGCTAAAACGACACTGCTCGTCATATTCTAATGGTTCTCCGACCTTTACATCTCTGTGTGTTAAAAACTTCGTGGCAAACTTAAAATACACTCTTCAAGTATAAAAATATTTAAAAAGCCTAAAGTACTCACCAGTAGTACCACCGCCTGGTGGATCGCTTGAAATAACACCCGGAAAGCGCAAGCATCTAAAATCCAGGCCAAATTTATGGTAATAATATTCGCCCATAAGTTCAGCATGCACTTTTGAGACGCCATACATTGTGCGGGGGCGTTGAATCTATATTTAATATGTATATAAAGAGAAGAATAGAGTTTGTTGTATAGAAAATGGAAATAAAAGTAATTAAATACCATTAATAATTTTTGACCAAAAAATAGTTTGATTAATTTAGTTTCGCTGAAAACCACTTCAAATGCTTAAGTAATTCATTAGCGATCAGTTACAAACAAAACAAAAAAAAATTTGGAACGTTTCAACTTTGGCGGTTATCTCTTCATTGCTGCTAAATTTCTCTTCAACGCGCATTTTCGCCATGGCTGATGGGAATGCGAACGCAATCGAAGCCGAATTCATAAAATATTGTCATAATTTTAACTGAATTTATACAGAGTGGCTTGTCACACTGCTTTCACTTGCACAGAGCATAAGGTTTTGTAAGACACGTTCTTATTATAAATAATTTATTTATGATTTTTGTATTTGAGCTATTTATAATAAACTTAAACTTTTATTGACTAATTAAGTCACTAACTCGTATTTTATTACAATTTGACACTGGTAGCAGTTTCGGTAAACAAGGAAAGCAATATTTGCATACCATAGATGAATGCAGTAACATAAATATTTACTGATAAAGCAATGGTATTTTTTTTTTGTTGAAGTGCAGTCAATATATATAATATGATGCACTATACTCATCTATGATACATACGTACACATGACACATAATAAAAGTAGCAAATACTCACTGTTACATTTGGAGTTGGATCGCGCGGACTGTCTGGGCCGAATGCGCCAATTGTGCTTGGCACAAAAATGCGTAAATTGTACTGTTTTGCCAGTTCGATGACATTATGTACACCCTCGATGTTGACGCTGCAATATTTCAGAAAAATAAATTAAAACTGCATGGGGAAGCAAAGCAGAAAAATGTGATTGTTGATATCACGCGATTACTTTGTACAGTTATTTTGTAATCACTTTGCGTGTTTAAGTGAAAGTCTTCCTTAGTTATGACAGAAAATCAACGTGCAGACGGATAAATGAAAGAACTAACACGATAAAATAAAAAATAGAAAAAAACATGAGTACAATGGACATTCAGAAACTGTGGTGGTTTGTTAATTTACAAAATTATTATACACTTATAGCACAAACAGTCACCGACATTCCTCCCTTCCGTACTTACCGCCCGTATCAAACCAAATTTGTCAAAAGTTATGAAAAAATTAAATTTTCGCGGATATCCTATCGTACGGTCTTTTGAAGCGGACGACAGAAGCGGTGGTGACTCTTCATTTACAATATATTGCGCTCTCATAAGATAGGTCGTATCAGCTGATTCGGTCCACGGTTTTGCGTCGGTGACTATTTGTGCCATTAGTATACAACACTTACCGCACCGCTAGTGGCACATTTTGTTCACCGATCGCGCTCAACAATGCGGAGAAATGTATGAGCCAATCAATACGATTATCGACGACAATCTTTTGCAGACCCTTGAAGTCTAAAATGTCGGCGAATATGTACGGACCACTTTCTATAACCTCCTGACTGGGTTTAATGATATCTGAGAGTACAACACTGTCAGCGCCATATTGAGAGCGCAAAAGTTTAGCGCATTCCATGCCAAGTTGCCCCAGACCACCTGGCGTAGGGTGTAAAACAAGTTATAAGCAATTCAAGAATGAGTCTTATTAGTTACAAGCCAGAAAAATATTAAATTTTTAAAATAAATTAATAAAGAGTTGCTGATTAATTTTACAAGAAATTTTTTCAAAAAAATTATTCTCAATAATAATATAAAAGAAGAAAGAATAAATAATAAATAATAAATTTAGTTTCTTGCAAAAAGTGTACACAATATTTTTCTTACTTTTATAATATAAATTATTGTATGTTTATAACTATTTGCACACTGCGTACTCATTTTTCAAATATCAGATCATATTATAAATAAATGGCAAACAAATTGTTGTTGCTCAAGAGTCATGTACAGACCCACGCCGTCACGTTTCGATACGTTTGAAAATTGTTGTTGATATTAGTGAATATTTTTAGCAAAAAAGCAACTTTTCGCAATACAAAAATTAAGAGTAAATCAATATAAGAAAAGTGACGAGCATTTCTGTCTGCGTCTGAGAATTTTAAAATGTTGAGCAGGCACCTATAAACATTTTTTTGAAGTTTTAAAAAATACATTTCTAGTGTAGAATTTCACTTTTTTACTTAACGCTAGTTCATACAATTGCGACATCATTGCAGATTGATAATCTTTTTTTTTCATTTCAGATGAGGGAGGAAGGAGGGTTAAAATCAAGGGTATGCTCTTTTGCCAATTTTTTGAGATCCCTCACTTCATCAGTTGCCCAGTTTTTAAAATTTAAACTTTTTTTCTGTACTCTTGTAACATTAATAAATAACTGATAAAAAATCGATGGTAAAAATATCGATTGCCTTGTTTTTACGACACTTAAAAAATCACTTAAAATTCATGTCTCTAGACTAGAATACCCGCATAAAATATTTAAAAATAACAATTTTTCTATATGATTGCATGTTTCACACTATAATCGTTGTTATTTGGGACTTAGATACATACCAGTAATCAAAACTTTTGGCGGACGGCTATCGGCTTTACTATGCCTAGTACGTCTACTGGAAGTTCGACAAACTATTGGCGTTAGACATACAGCATTGTTTGCAATTTTAGTTTGTGCGAAAGTAGTTAAACTCTTTCTGAACATAATTTTTTTATTGTAAATTCTAAAATTTTTTATTTTTTGTGCAAATTATTTTTTATTTTTATTATTTAATATATTTTTCTTCTTCACAACACAGCAAATTTTTCGTATTATCCAAAATTCTAAAATTTTACCGGCCAATACAGCACGATGTTCAGCTATCAACTGATATCTTTTTTCGTTTATGCGATGAGGCGGCTGCCTGGGTTTTGCTTAGCTTGGAAAATGTGCGATTACAATAAGAAAAACACACAACGCACACAGCAATAAGTAACTTTTGTGTTGTTACTTCTGCTTTTTAGAAGATTCAATTCATTTGTTTATATTATATACAACTATTGACAACATAAATATGTAGGTATAGGTCGATTCTTATACTTCTAAATTTTAAAGATAATCTCTTCAGTGTCTGCACAAAAAGAAAATGAGTGTGGGAAATGATTGGTAATCTGGCAAATATAGCCGGTTTGATAATAGTTGACTTAATATAAATTTGGACCCGTTCCGGTTACGTAGACACGACTGACGTGAGAACGGAAGAGTGATTGGTGATATAGTGAAAGTATTTCTAAAAATTGTCTGACTCTTCAGAAATTATTCATTATTTAATAAACAAACATATGCGCATACCATTGACAAAAATTAGGTTGTCAATAAAAATATTTGAAAAGTATTTGGTCCACCCTTTTTATATATACATCGAGTGCGTGTGTGCACATTTCTGCATGCGTATTTTATGACCTTGGCTACCAATTCACGCGTCTGCAAATTTAAACTATGAAATTTTGTATTTGGACTACCCTTTATGTACCTATACATAACCAGATTATCGTATACTTATTTACCCAATGGGCATTAAAATGTGTGTGTTTAGTATGACTCTGCCAGGAAAAACTAGACCTATGCTATCACCGAAGCTAAACAACTTTTCACGAAACAAAAGTTTTTATACATAAACTTCATTTTGATCGTTCGGCTTGTATGGCAGCTTCTTGAAAAGAACGTGATCGATAACTGAAAAACTGAAGAACTAGTTTGCGTATATACAGACAGACGGACATGGCTAAATCGACTCAGCTCGTCACGCTGATCATTTAGATATATATTTTATAGGGTCACAGACATTTCCTCCTTGGTGTTAGAAACTACGTGACAAACTTAATATATCCTGTTCAGGATATAAAAACAATAATAATAATTTACTGGCTAGTAGCACAGGAAATTATAAGTTCTTCCAACAGGGTTTGGTACATGCATATTCAACATCGCATTCGGAGCGTTCTAACATAATAATCTATAAGTCTTGCACGTGTCACGAAATTGTTATTCATGATTCTTTATTACTATTTTTATTGTTTTTCATATTCATTTAGATACTGCCAAATTTTTCGCTTTTCATTTGAATGAAATACCGAGATATTTTCAAAGATTTTTATTTTTATTCTGTATACCGTTATCAAAGATCAGCAAGTTATTCCCACACACATACATATGCACGTGATATATGCATATACATGTATACAAGACTCTTGATCCACATATATACAAGATCTGAAAATTGCATTCAATATCACTGTAAATAAAAGAAAGCGAACGTAGTTAATTGTCATCAAGCCAATTATCTTCAATGAATTCCACTTAATACGAAAGTTTGAACCGCGCAAAATATTAGAAGCAGACATTATGTACTTGCTTATGAAATGACTGGAATATGAGGTATGTATGCAGGGATGTTGTGTCTTAATTAATGCGCATTTCTTAGCATTTACAGGCCTGAATATGTGTTTTGCTAATGTAGTTGCTATTAATGTGGAACGTAGAGAATTAAAAAGTTATACATAAACACACTGCTATTTACTTATAATACTTATATATTCATGCCTTGCCAATTTGAATTGACGCACCGACGAGCCTCCAAATTTTTGTTGCAACACTGTGTTTTTGTGATGTCTAATTATAACTTTGAAATTAAAATTCAAAATTATGTCTTTAGTACAGCTTATTCATTGTTGTTTTTCAACAGCAACCGTAAATAATGATTATTGTTGCGATTTTTATATGCAATAATCAAGCACTTAGAATCGACATACAAAGAAACAGATAACATATTGTCATCGACGATCTTAGCATGATAATTTTCTAATTTCGGATTTTTAAGATTTTCTTCACCGATAATGATTAATTTTTATTGATTTTACAATAAATCAAAAATATTTATTATTTTTGAGCAAAAAGAAATAATAAAAGTCACAAATAATCAATATTTGTTTTTTTTTTTAAACAAACTCATTATTAGATAACAGGTTTCTTATGAAGGTTTTCGTTGCATCTCTTTTAGAATGAATCACAAGCATTAAATTTTTGTTATGGTATCGCCACGCCTCTTTTCCGCCTCAACAAAAACTAGAAAAGATATCGTATGTGCTGGTTTGCATGACAATTACAAATTGTATCGTTATCGGTTCCAAAACATGAAAGTTTTCAAAAATTAATTTCTGTCGGTAAAAACGGATTCATCGAAAAGATAATTTCTTACCAAAATTTTGTGTTACTTTTTTTTTTACAAAAAGGTCATGCAATGAATTCAGCCAAACACTTTATAAGAAACCTGTGATCAAAAGTGAGTTTTATTTTAACCAAAATAATTAAAAATCAAAAATAATGATTATTTGTGATTGTTATTGTATATTTTTGCTAAAAAATAATGAATTTGTGTGATTTTTAGTTTTTTTGCTCAAAAATAATAATAATTTATGATCTATTGTAGAACTAATCAAAATCAGCGTAAAAAATCGTAAAACTCAATGTATAATCATTTTACGTAATTTTTAAAATATATAAAACTTATAATGATTACCGTCTCTGTTTTTCACATAAATTTGACAATTGTTGCACTATTTTTGAAAATCAAATTTTTCGCACAATATTTTTCGCATCATGTTATTCTTTAGTAAAATTCATTATAGGTATACAATTGCGCATTTTTAGTTGGAGAAGTACCGAAATATAGCAGGAAAATTAGGAAAATAAAAATTTTCAAAAGCCATAACACAATTTTGTCTTTCGCACTTGCAATTGATTCGTGTATAATATTCGAGAAGCTACTAAAATTTGTACTTTTAATGGACAACAGTTTAAATATGTAGTTAGTCAAGCATTTACTCTTCCATTCCTTGAAAAGGTATTGAATATGTTAGATAAATCAAACGCAATTTAAATTTCAATATAATGTTCTGTGGCATTATCGTTCATTTCCAATAAGTAACGAGCTCTATTAAGGGGTTAGGGGTAGTCAGAGGCACGAAAAAATTAGAATTTTCAGTAATTTTTTTTGCTATTAAATAACGTTATTTTACAAAAGTAGTAATATGACATTATAATACAATGTTTTGACATGAAGTCACGAAGAATTTCAAAAAAAATATATATATTAATTTCCAAAGTTATAGCTAGTTATGGCTATATTATAACCCAGTTTCAAAAAAAAAAACCGTGCGGTCACAATCATAAGTCCTTGGAGATCCATCTAAAATCCAACAAATAAAAAAAAACTAGTTTTATAAATAGATAATCCTGAGCCTGATCGAAGCTTTTTTTTTCAAAAATTAACAATATGGCGGCCTCAGGCAATTTTTTTCTAAATTTTTGGTAAGAAATCAATCTTTGGTCTTAAAAAATCGAAATTATTCATAAAAAAAAATCCTTCGATCAGGTTCGAATAACTCAAAAATAACTCAATCGGATCAACTTGAAATTTTCAGACAATATTTTCAAGATATTACACTTAACGAAAATGCAAAAAAACAAACATTGAATTTTTGAAAATTCTGACTACCCCTAACCTCTTAAAAGAAAGATGGACATAAATGTATACTCTTACATATATACATATGTATATACTGTAAATAAATATTTTGGCTTTCTGCCCATTCAGAAAATTTTGTCATCGCATAGTCATATAGATATGTATGTACATAGAAGAGAAATGAGGTGTGCACCGCGACCTAGGGTGTATTATGCCCATTTGTATATTAGCAAAACATTTTCCCAGCTTACATAAGTATGTGTTAGAGCGGGTCGATTTTTTATTTAGAAAAGACGCACGACTTTTTTTTTGACTCTTCGAGTTTTTAATTGAAATTTATAATTCCTAAAATGAAAAATATTTTTCGAATGCGGAATCAACTCTAAAAATGTTTATAAAAATACACTAAAAACTTATTTTATGCTTTTTTGTATGTGTGATATATATATATGTTATACATAATGTATTTTATTATAACAAGTGTACGGAAAGCGTTGGCAAGCTTGTATGACTCTGGAAAGCGTTGTATGACAGTCCGGGTCAGATTTGATCAAATAGTATACTTGTTAACCTGAAATTGTATAAGAAGTACATATCTACACTTTAAACGTTTTATTCTTAATTTATTTAGTGTGCTACTAATTTAAAAAATATATTTCATCTTATATATATACATATGTATATATGTATGTTATGAAACGCCTTATTGGCATTTTTGTCGTTATTCCAAAAATTTTAGTTAAACACTTCCCTATTGCCATTTTTTGTTGTTGTATTTAATTGCTCATGTGCTTTTTAGTTTTACTTCTTGATTTGGCGAGTAATCCAGTATTTAGTTTAGCGAGCAATGTATTTAATTTCCAAGCAGATGAGAGTGAAATTTTTGCACAATCTGATCGACAACTACAAAAATCGGCTTACAAACGTAACTACCATAAACATTGGGGTAAATGTATGCATATGTAACTGTGTGTGTGTGTGTGTGTACAACATAGCAAGATATGCGTTTAGGCGTAATCACAACAACTATTTACAAAGACTGTTGGAAGTGTAAACTTTTATTTCTTTTGGAAATGCTTAATTTTCATGGCTCAGAGCACAGTTGTTGACTTTGAATGTCGTACGCATTAAAATTTAAGTAATTCGAAGGTACCGCCTTGGGACCAAAAGCTTTTATAGTTAGTGCGTGAAATAATGATTTTAATAAATACTAGATGCAAACTTGTTGTTGCTATTGGGAAAACGCAAATATCTGTATTGGCAAGCAAGTGGTTTTTCGATATTTGTACTGCATAAATATACATATATACAAATTCGTGTTTATCAAATAATCGCCGATAAAATTAAAGTGTTTCATAAAAGAGCTTTCTAGATACAACTTAAACAAAGTAGGGCCTCCATTTTTGGGACTACTAGAATATGCAAGTCACAGAAAATTGTTTACTTATAGCTGTATT